TTGTTGGAGGCTAGGACGCAAGCGTCCGTCGCCCTTTTCAAACTCGGGGCCCACTCCGCTACGCTCCGACCCGAATTTGGAGGGCCTGAAAGTTTAAGGTGTTGCTGCGCAAAAGGGGTCTCTGGGCCGGCGCGGGGGCCCCAGAGGGTGTCCATGCGGGGGGGAGATGGGGTCCCATGGCCCGCCGCAGGCGCCGATTTTTTGGAGTTTTTTTTTCTTTTTTCGCGATTTTTTACTTGTTTTCATGGGAATTCGGCGTACTTGCGGCCATGCTATCACGCCTTGCGACAGCCTGTCGGCGCAGCTGACCGTGCCATGATGCACAATTGATCACCTGCATAGCTCGCGGCCTTTGTATCAAGCATTCAGTGATGACGTGATCGTACGGCCAGTAGGAAGGTGTCCTTCCAGCTGCGTGCACGCTTCTGGCGCAATGCGCGTCACCTCGGATTGGCTGCTGGCACTCTCGAGGCTATGCCTACACAGCCTCGCGCGCATGGGCAGTCAAGAGGGACCACGCACCTTCTCAGGACAGCGCCGGCGCCTCTCTCTTGGACCGGCAAACTTGGTGGTCTCGTGTCACCAATGTGGGACCAGTGCGGCATCGCGCCATCGACAGCTCTGAACTGCGCCTCACCACTGACCGGGAAGGCCGCCAAGTGGGCCAGCACAGGTCGCACATTGTGGCAGCAGTCAGCAGTGCATGGCTGATAGCTAGAGCAGCAGCGTCAGGGTCGCAGGGTCGGATCGTGTCAAGCCTCTCGCCCGGCCGGCCGCGTGCAGACGTCGGCCTGTCTGCTGTCTGGAGTGATCTGTCGGCGGTCAGTACGACCGATCAGGTCGGAGTTTTCTGATGGTTGGAGGGTCTATCTGCATGTACTCCTCGAGATCTCTCCAAATCTGCCCTCTGATCAACCGTGATCATTCGGGAAGTCGGTGCTCATAGAGACTCATAGAGCCGGAGCCCCGTTTCCGCACTGCGGCGCGGCGCACGGTGCCTCCGGGGGGCCCCGCGCCGGCCCAGAGAAAGGGGTCGGACACAGGGCGCAGCTCATGCTAAGAGCTAGAAGAGGAGATAGAGAGAACAACCACCCTGTCCCGTTATTGCGTACACCAACACCACAAAACGCTCTCTCTCTCGTGTCCTCACTCAGGGGGGTCACAACTACCAAGTCCCTCGACTAGCTGCCACAGGGCGCAGCTGCCACAGGGCGCAGCTGGAGACGCTCTCCCTCAATCGGCATCCACCCCCACCCGCTCCAGCCCCACTTCTGCTGCCGAGAGAGCTGAATCGAAGCAAGCGAGCCATTGCATCTTGGCGTGCTCCTGGAGCGCGGCTTTCTGCTTGGCGGCCACGAGCACGGCGGAGTCGGCGTCGTAGTGCGCATCGTTCCCGCTCATCGCCCATTCCTCCCACGTGACGTGTGTCGGCCGCGATTCGATGTCGCCACCTTCATCGCCAACGAGGACTCCCTCGACTGCAGGCAGGGGGCTCCGGCGCGGGGAGGGACTCCGCCTGCTGCGCTGGCCGACCGCGCCCTCCTCCTCCATGGGCTCGATCCGAATCCGCAGCGTGTCGTCCCCAGCGGCGGTGCTGCGCGGGAGGCGGCCGCGGGCACGCTGGGCTCGATCAGCGGCTTTCCCTCAGTTGCTCCGAAAGCACGGATTTGGCGTTCTTGGCTTCAATTTTACGAATGTCTGGCACCAGCTGAAGGCTTGGGTCCGACATCGCCGGATTCGTGCACGGTATTCGGATTTTGCTATTTGTTCGTGTGGGGGTATATTGCAGATTTGTCAATGGTACCGCGTCTGCGACGCGGGCGCCTTGCGAGCAGAGCCCTTAGGACACCCTTTATATCTTGCGCGGTCAAAACCCTGCCGTTTTGAGGATATGCCTTCATACTGTTTTCTTTCTTCTTTTTCGGACGACAGGTTTTCCCTCTCCAACTTCAAAAAATAAAAGCGCGGGAGCCGCCAACCAACGAGCCTGCTCCTGTAACGCCGAGCCTGCTCCTGTCCCGCTCGTGCGCATCGTCACGTGGCAGTCGAGAACCTCCCCGCTCTTCAGGCAGGGCGTAGCGAAGGAGAAGTCAGGTGACTCTAGCGGAGGAGCACTTGGAGGTGGCTGCCGCAGGCATGCGAATGTTGGACGGAGGGTGGACGCGTCCAGAGGGGGGGTCAGGGGGGTTGTGCCAGGGTTGTGCGGTACTTGCATCGAAAAAGCGAGCACGTATGAGGTGTGAATGTGAACATACAGGGTGTGAATGGGCGAGGTGTGAACGGAGTAGCGGGATGAATGCGCAGAGGCGCCAGGGAAGGAATGTGTCGGGGATCGAAGTGTGCTGGCTCGCCCGATCGGCCGGCGAGGTCGGGCGTCGGCCCGCGGGGGTCCCCCGGGGGCCGCCCGGGGCGCTGGGCGTCCACCGGGGAAGTAGGATGTATGTACGTTGGGTAAAAGGGCCTGCCTGCGCATCCATGCGGTCCTCCCCCCGGGGGGCGCGCGCGGCACTTCCGAGGGTCGGGGCTCGACGCACGGCTGGGGGTGGGGGTTCCTGCGGGTATGGGGACCTCAGGGGGTTGGGTGGGCACAATCCTATCCTCGGTCGGGGATTCCGGATCGAGGGGGGTGCAGATCTCATGCAGGGGGGTGCACTTTTCTGTCGATCGTTTCGGTGTTTTTCGGAAATGTGCAGTGCATGGGTTGCCCCGTATAGGCCTTTTCAAGTTCCGTCCGTCCGCGAGGCGGGGGTGATGGGAAAAAAGGGTTAGGGGGCGGTCATCCCAGCGGGCGCCTGCTCTCCCGCCCGTGGGGTCGGGTTCAGACGCACCGGTGGTCATTGCGAGAGAACAAAACACCCTTTGTTGCGGCGCGCGCGGCGGCGGCGTGCGCCGGTGCGCGCAATTAACCGGGTGGTCCAACCTGTGCGGTGGATGTGGACCTACCAGATGCGGCGTATGCTCTTCATGTGCTGCCTCGTGCTGGGCACGGGCTCATTGAAATCTGCAGGCGTGAAGCTGCCAAGAAGCGTGCCCTACCTCAAACCAGTCTTCTCGCCACGATCGACTACCACAAAGTTTGCATTTGTTCATGTGATTGATGACCTGAAGAAAGAGGCCAAGCAGCGTCACCTCGATGAGCCAGAAGCTTACTGGCTTGCAAGCAGCGGCGTGGCGGACATGGGCATGTGCGTTTTGGCGGCGCAGATGACCAACTTGCGATTGCACAACGCAAGTGGTGACCATGTCATCATCACTCGGCATGTGGATGTTCCAAGATCCTCGCGTCATGACGTTCCTTGATGCTCTTGACGCCTTCGTCTTCAAGTCGACAGTTCAACAAATTCTACACACATGGCAACGTGCGAATAAGCAAGAACGTGTCAGAGCTTGTTTGGGGCATCATGAGTCAAACCATCCTCAAGGTTGGTGTGTTTGGCCTCGTGCATTACGTTTACGAGAAGCTACTGTTCTTAGACCTTGACGTGTTTGCTTTCGAACGGTGCCACAGCATCCGTTCGCAGGCTATGCAGAGTCGCTGGTTGTACCAAGTGGAGGCAACGCACCACTTGTCGCGAGCATAATGGCAATCAAGCCAAACATTTCCCATTACATGCTAATGCTCGATCTCCTTCAACAAGGCTTCACTACCGACCAAGGGTGGGGACGGCAAGGCTGGCAGGTGGGTCGACGGGTTGGAGGTTGATAGCTTGTCGGCAGTATCCACACTACTGCAGCGACATGGGCAACGCATCACGTCGCTGGGATTTCTATTTTGCCGAGGCCGACCAAGGGCTCATCTATGCCACTTATTTCAACGGCCTCGGCCCGAGGTCCCTTCGGAACGCCATTATGTTCGGGACACTGAGCAAAAATATCCCTCACATTCACTGGTATGGTGAGCGCAAGCCATGGATGCGATCAACCATGGAGGGATCAAAGGCCCTCATTGAAAAAATCAGGGAGCCTTTGCACCACGAGGTATTCTGGGCGGCGTGGAGAGCAGTGACCAGCACCATGGCCACGGCCATGCGGCCATTCGACTGTTCTGCCACTCTGGACGCGTTTGCTCAATGAGACACCGTCGGGTACCGTCGGATACCGTCGGCGGTACACCATCGCGCATCGGGTACCGCGGGGTACCGCGTAAGGTACTATCTGCGTGAGGGACTGTGAGGTACTGTGGGGTATACCGTTGGGACTGCACAGTACATTACAGTACTGTGAATTGTGAGTTGCCACAGGGTACTCTACTGTGGGGTACTGACTCTACGTGGCTGGGTTCACAGCCTTGTTATTGAGAAGAAAATACCTCCTATGGCGCTGTGCGCTGGCCTGGCGATTGGAAAATGATGGGAACACTTGACATTGTAGCCCTGGCCGGTGCGCGTGCTCAGTTGAAGTTCCGGAGTAAAAATTCGAACGCGTTCTCTCACGGTGACCAACAAATGTCCACCTCAGAGGCACCTCCGGAGGCAGGCCGCCGCACGCCGGCGACACAGCTCCAAGCTGTCGAACTGACCCGCAGCTCCTCTCAGAGCGGGAACTGTGACGAAAGTTGACTGAGGCGGTTGTCAGGAACCATCATACGGATCACATGGTGGCTCTCTCATGACGGGAGACCGCCCGACCACTCCTGGGTGGCACTGCCACCGGTGTCGCTCGACGTCCTGTCGACAGCGTGCCGACAGCGACACAGACCATGTGGGACGCGTCGAGTATCGACCTCTACTGCTTACCCAGCCTTCGAGTGTATCCTGGCTGTGGCCCCACACCCACTGGTGTCCATCTCAGAGACCGCAGGAGGTCATGAGGGTCGATGGGAGTGCCAACCCCACAAAATGTGCCTAAAAACCCAGCCGATGTATGTTCAACGTTGCAACAATGAAAAAGTGTGTGACTATTACAGACTAAATCTAAAAGTTCGCAAGAAAAGCCTCCGATTCTCAAACGGGGCTAAAATTCAACCTAGCCGCCCGCCGCACACTCTCACCCGTCACGTTTCAGGCCGCGCCGCCAGTGCGGAGAAATTCTCGCTCGAAAGCGGAGCGCCGCACGACGACGTGCACGATGGGCACGCCTGGCACGGTGTAGCCCTCGGCGCACAGGGCGGCGAGCTGCGGCAGCAGAGCCGTCGAGGCGTCGAGGCGCCGGCAAGTGCCGACGCCAGCCTCGCCGTCGGCGTCGAGGACGAGGTAGGGCTGCAGCGCCGGCGCGGCGTACTTTCTCTCGGTGTCCCACGGCGGGGAGCGCTCGGCGGCTTCGCCGAACATCTCCTCGAGGTGGTCGGCGAGGCGCTCCCCCTCTGCCACGTCCTGGATGAAGTCGGACATCGACGCCTCCGGGTAGAGGAGCAGCACCGGAGAGTGCAGCTCTGCCGCGGCAGAGTCGTACCACAGACGAGCACCAGCGTGCTCGCCGACGCACTGCTGCCGCAACCCCTCGTCGAGAAACTCTCCCACCGCGAGCCCCCGCGCGCGCAGCGCCGCCGCCAGCTCCTCCTCCATGGCGGCGCGCGCCGCGGCAGCCACCCTCTTCGCCTCCTCTGCCGCCTCGCGCGCCGCAATCTCGCTCGCGACCGAACGCAGCTCCGCCGCCTCCGACTCGCCGCCGCCGCCGCAGAGCCGCAGCCCCTCCTCGCTCAGCGCCTTTGCCTCCGCCAGCAGGCCGAGCCGCAGCGCCGCCGCGGCCCCGCGCCGCGCAGCCTTGACCTGCGACGCCGCCGCCAAGGCGCGAGAGCCACTGTCTGCCCCTCCGGCAGCGCTGCAGGAGGCCGCTCCCCCCTCGGCCCCGGCCGCCGCGGCCGCGGCCGCCGCGCATCCCTCTGGCTCCGCCCTCGCCTCGTGCTCCGCCCTCACCGCGAGCGCCTCCTTCGCGTCGTCGAGCGCGCGCCTCCAGTTCCTGAGCGAGGTGTGCGCCGCCGCGCGGTTGGCGAGCAGCGTCGCGCGCAGCCTCGCGTCGCGCGGCCTCTCGGCGAGACCTTCGCTGTACCGCTCCACCGCGAAGGAGGCGGCGTGCGGCTCGCGGGAGCGCATCGCCTCGTTCCCCTTTGCCTTCTGCCGCTCGGCCCGCTCCTCCGGCGTCGTCTTGAGCGACTCGAGCGCCGCGAGCATGTCGGAGTCCTCAAACGGGTTCGCACCGTCCGACGACTCGCCGACCGCCGACGCGCCGCACGCGTCTGGCCCGTCCGCCCCGCCGCCGCCGCCGCCGCCCGCCGCCTTTTGCGCGGCGGCGGCCTCCTCCGCCTCTCGCTCCGCCTCCTCCTCCGCCTCAGGCCCGAGCGGGTAGAGGGGGACGTAGAAGGCCGAGACGTGGAGCAGGAAGCCGCAGGTGGCGAGGACCGTCTCGGAGGAGAGCGAGGCGAAGTAGCGGAACTGGTCGCGCGTGAGGCCTATCGGACACGTCCAGGACGTGTCTGCGGCATGTCGGCGAAGCAGCGGAACTGGTCGCGCCCGACCGCCTCGGAGCTGCTGGTCCGACGAGGGCGGCGCGGCGAGCACGCGGCGGACGGCCGCCGGGTCGAGCTGCTTGAGCTCGAGGTTCGCCTGCGGGGCGGAGAAGGCGATGGGGGGGGCGCGGCGGGGCGGGGCCGCCGCCGCGCACGCGCTGCGCGCCTCGAGCACGGTCTGAAACTCTGCCGGCGAGAGGAGGCCGTCGCCATCCAAGTCAAAGACGGCAAAGGCAAAGGGGAGCGCCTCCCGCAGAGTCCGCGAGTGCAGCTGCGCGTAGCCGCGGACAAAGGCGGAGAAGCTGACAGCCTCGGCGCCGCTGGCGATGACGCGGCTGACGGAGCGGCAGAGCAGGTCCGAGTGCACGCCGAGGCTTCGCACGACCTCGGCGAGAGCACCGACGCTCATGGTGCTGGTCTCGTCGACGGCGGCAAAGAAGGGGCGCGAGCGCTCGCACCTGCGATCGAGCGTGACGGCGGGCACGCGTGAGTGCGGCGATAGGGGCCGAGGCGAGCGAGGAGGCCGAGGCCACCACATCGCGTGAAAGCGCTCGAGCAGCTCACGCGGCAGCCGCGTCTCCTCCGAGAGATCGCCGCAGAGGAGCCGGCGGCTCGTGGCGTCGTCGTAGGCGGAATAATTCTTGGCGGCGGCCATAAAGAAGGGGGCAGTGGCGAGACAGCTGTCCCGGGGCTGAGAGGGACGCGTGGACGTCGCGGGCGCGCAATTTTCTCGTTGCACCCGCGAGAAGAAAGCGGCCGCGCGTCCGAGCCTGGCTGTTCGGCAGGCGGCGGCGGCGTCGCAGGACGAGGCAGATGAGAGTGAGACGAGAGTGGGACGACTGCGAGGTGGATCGCATGAAGGTTGCAGCGAGAATCGGCGGGGGGACTGCGAAGGGAGATAGAAAGAGGCAGACGACCAAGGGTTAGGGTGGGCGACGGCTAGCACCACACTCCTCTCCTTAAAATCCCTGTGTGGTGGCGGCGTGCCGTCCTCCCATCCCTCCCCGTTTTCTGTTTTCTTTCTTTTTTGTGGCGCGAATGCGAAATTCTTTTTCCGGTGTACCTGTGTTAGTGCCAGTGTGCGCCAGTCCCGTGCCTAGTGTCATGCGAGCGCGTTAGTTCGCCGAATTCTTTTTCTTTTCCACTTCTCTGGCACGCCGCACTCACGCGCACTCGCACGCCGCACTGTGGCCACACTCGCACGCCGCAGCAACGCAGCAACGCTGAACCTCAGCCATGCCGTCCGCGCGAGACACGGCATCGACCCTCCTCGCGGGACTGGATGAGGACGTGCTCGACTATCTCGTGACGATGCTGGAGGGCGACGAGGAGCAGGAGGCGATGGAGGCGACCGTCGCCGAGTTTTTGCTGTCGACCGAGCACGTCGCCACCGAAGAGGAGGCGACTGCCAAGTGCCGGGAGCTTTTTGCGGCGCTGTCATGCGCGGGAGCCGCCGACGCGGCGGAGACGGCCGCGGCGCCCGAACCTGAGCTCAAGGTGCTCGAGCAAAAGACGAGCATCGCCGAGTCGGACTCGCACCTCTTCCGGGACGTGTCCAAGGACGAGCTCGGCGGCCGCCTGGTCGACCTGGATGAGGCGCTTGAGGTGCGAAGGAAGCGCAAGGCGCGGCAGGAGGCCGAGCTGAGGGCAGTCCGCGCGGCGCACAGCCGCGTCCTGGCGCAGCGAGCGGCGGAGGACGCCGCGCTTGCGGCGGCGACGACGGCGGCGGTGGAGCTGCGGGCGAAGCAGGGCGCGTACACGGGCGCGGTCGAGGCGAAGCCCTTCTCGCTGCCCAACCCGGGCGGCGGGAGGGACCTGCTCGAGAAGGCGCGAGAGGCAGCCGAGAGGCAGCCGAGAGGCAGCCGAGAGGCAGCCGAGACGCAGCCGAGATGCAGCCGAGACGCAGCCGAGACGCAGCCGAGACGCAGCCGAGATGTAGACACGGGAGGGGCCGGCGCGAGACGGCGTCCTTCACACGCGACTCACTGGACTCGTGAGCGGAGAAGGCGTCCTTCACGCTGGTGCGCGGCCGGATCTACGCGCTCATCGGCCGGAACGGGAAGGGCAAGTCGACGCTGCTGCGCGCGCTCGCATCGCGGCTGGTGGGCGACATCCCGCCCGCGCTGACGGTGCACTACGTCTCGCAGGAGGTGCTAATTAAGAATCTAATTACGAATTGATAATGAATAGGTGCACTACGTCTCGCAGGAGGTGCAGCTCGGCGAGGAGCGGCTCGGCTGGACGCCGGCGCAGGTGGCGGCCAACGCCTCAAGAGTCGGCCGCCCGCGCGTCTGTCCGTGACGCGTCCACGACACGTCCCTTCCTTAGGCGGTGGTGCACGCAGACGTCGAGCGCAGGCTGCGGCGCCGGCGGGTCGAGCAGCCATGTCCACGCCACGTCGGCTGACCAGTGTCCCTCTCGTCTCCCCTGCAGGCTGCTGCTCGCCGAGGCAGAGGAGCTGGAGGCACTCGAGCTGGCGGCCGCGGCGTCGGACGAGCAGGCAGCTGCTGGAGGCGCGGCAGGCGGGCGCGGCCGTGCGTCCCTGACGCGTCCGCGACACGTCCCCTGCAGACGGGCCGGCTGCAGGAGGTGCGCTCGCGGCTCGAGCTCATCGAGGCGCCCGCGAGATCTAGCCGAGATCTAGCCGAGATCTAGCCGAGGTCTAGCCGAGGTATGTCTCACTGCTCGAGCGCATCGAGGCGCGACGCCGCCGAGGAGGGCTTGAGTCTCGGCCGCACCTCGGCCGCACCTCGGCCGCACCTCGGCCGCACCTCGTCTAGGCGCACACCGCCGAGGAGCGCGCCACGTCCTTGCTCACCAACTTGGGCTTCTCGGCCGAGCTGCGCGCGAGGAGGATGGAGGCGCTCTCCGGCGGGTGGCGCGTGCGGACGGCCCTCGCCGCGGCGATCTTCGCGAGGCCCGACTTGCTGCTGCTCGAGTCAGCGGCGCACGGCGCCTCTTCACAGCTGCAGCTGTGAACAGGCCCGACTTGCTGCTGCTCGACGAGCCGACCAACCACCTCTCGATCGGTGCTCCTGCTCTCGCCCCGCCGCGAGGAGAGGCGGCGCCCCCCCCTGTGAGCTTCCCTCCCCTCCCCCCCCTTTCCTCCCCTGTGAGCAGGCGCGGTGCTGTGGCTCGCGAGGGAGCTCTCCACCTCGCCGACGTGGCAGCAGCGGATGGCGGTCGTCGTCTCGCACGACCGCGTCTTCCTCGACGAGGCGGCCACCCCGCACAACCTCTCGCAACCAAGTCCCGCACTTCTTCTCTCGGCCCACCTCGGCCCCTGGCTCACCTCGGCTCACCTCGGCTCACCTCGGCTCACCTCGCCCGACGAGGTTGCGACCGACACGCTGCACGTGAGCGGGGCGGCGCGCCAGCTGACGCAGAGCCGCGGAAACTACTCTGGTTGGGCGAAGCGGCGCGCGCAGCAGCAGCTGACGCACGAGCGGGAGATGGAGTCGAAGCGGCGGATGATCGCGGAGCTGCGCGCGTTCAAGCCGCTCGGCTCGACGCCAAAGCAGATGAAGATCTTCAAGTCGAAGGAGAAGATGGCCGACAAGCTCGAGGAGGAGGAGCGGATCGCCACCCGCCGCCCCACACACCCACCGGACACGTGCTGCTACACCACCCTCCGTCGACACCCCCCTCCGATGACACGCCTGCTGGTTGACACTTCGGGCCCGCGCCGCTGACCTGTCCTACACCTCTCCTACACCTCTCCTGGAACCTCCCCGCAGGCGCGCGAGCTGGACGAGCAGGCCGCCTCACTGACCGAGGACGCGGAGCTTCCCCTCTCGCTCAAGGCTGGCGGCGAGGTGTCGGGCTTCCTCGTGCAGGTCAAGGGCGTGTCCTTTGGCTACCCGGGCTCGGCGGCACCCCTCTTCTCCGGCGTCGAGATGGGCATCGACGCTCGCTCGCGGATCGTGCTGCTCGGCGAGAACGGCAACGGAAAGACGACGCGCGCGTCCAAGCTGCTGCTGGGCAGCCTCGCCTCACACACTTCTCTTGATTGCGCCATTCTTGTTTAGGCTCGTCAAGCTGCTGCTGGGCGACCTCGCCCCGACGGCGGGCGAGGTGGGGCGGCTTCCGACTAGCCTCCGCACGACTCGAGCTCCTCACCACTCGGCCTCTCTTGCTTCTCCAGGTGGTGAGTGCGGGCGGCGTCCGCATCGCCCTGGTCAACCAGCACCACGCCGACCAGATCGACCTCACGCTCTCGCCGCTGCAGTTCCTGATGGAGCGCTTCCCGGGCGACGGCTCGTACGCGCACGAGCAGGCGCTCCGCTCGCACCTCTCCGGCTGCGGCGTCACCTCCGAGATGATGACGCTCCCCTCCTCGGCGCTGAGCGGAGGGCAGCGCTCGCGTGTCGCCCTCGCCGCCGTCTCGTACACGCAGCCGCACATCATCGTCCTCGACGAGCCGACAAACAACCTCGACCTCGAGTCCGTCGCCGCGCTGGCCGACTGCCTCGACAGCTTCGAGGGCGGGGTCGTGCTCGTGTCGCACGACCAGTACTTTGTGGGCCGCGTCGCCAAGGAGGTGTGGCTCGTCGACAAGGGGTCCGTCCGCCGCCTCCCCTCCTTTGACGTGTACCGCACGCAGCAGCTCAACAAGCTCAAGTAGAGCCGGGGGAGTGTGCGTGCGGCACCGGTGTGTGTGATATAGATCGTCTCAGAGGTCCCGGCGCACACCTCTGAGGTGAGAGGTGACTGTGTGGCGAGCTGGCGAGCGTCCGTGCGCCGGACCGTGGCTCTCGGAGAGGGGCCCGAGCGCCCGACACACCGCGCCGCAGAGGGAGAGAGAGAGAAAGGGATGTCAGTACTACACCCCCTTTGGCACGCAGGAACATCGGCTTTGGCGTTAAAAAATAACCAAGTGTTTCGGTTGCGCGGGATCGCGTAAACACTGACAGTGTGGTTTGCGACGGGTGCGCAGCTTGTAGCGTGACGATTCGAAGTGGCCGCGCTGCCACACGTACCCTACTCCTCCATCTCGTACTGGATGGCGGCTCGCGTACCAGGCTCAATGATGGGCTTGATGCAGTCGTTGATCACTTCGATGTGGGCCTCGTGAGTCTCGTACACCTCGTAGGCTTCTTTAGTATCGAATGTCGGCGCCCAGGAGCAAGAGCGGTTCTTCCCGGCTGGGTGAGCTGCGAGCGCAGGCGGCCGGTAGAGGGTGTGAGCGCATGACGTGGTGGGGCCGACGGGCCGGCTACGGCGCGCACTCTGCCCGCCCTTCAGCTTCAGGTCGAATCCTAGCTCGAACGATTTGATCTCCGGGATCTTGCTCTTCAGCCCCGCTAGCCCTGTCTTCAGTGTCGAGATCTGTGCTTCTGTCGTGCCCTCTTTGATGCCAAACATGACGATGTGCCTGACTGGCATGGCGAGCGCTGTCGCAAGCGTTGTCAGCTGCTGCGCGTCGTGCGCCGCTTCGCGCGAGAGAAAAAAACCCGCGGGGATTTCTTTCTCCACGTACATGGGCAATTACATGTACAGCCGAAATTTCAACCTTGGGACAGCCCCACGCGCCCCCCCCCCTCCTCCGGGGCGCCAAATCCTGCGCCCGCTTGCGAGCGAGATTTTTACCAATACCTTAAAGAGAGATTACAGGCGGGTAAGGTCCGTTAGCGGGAGATCGGCGGGAGCGGCGCACGTTTCGAATTCGGCGGGCGTTTCGAATTTGTCGACGGACCGTTTCAGGTCGCTGCGCTCCCGTATGAGCGAGGCTGCCGACGCTGCCATGATTGAGGCTGCCGACGCCGACGGGCGGCTGCGCGACGACCCGCTGACGGACCGCCCCGTGGACGCGGCAGCGGCGGCAGAGCGAGAGAGATCGGCGAAGGCGGCCAAGCTTGCTGCGCAGACCGCCAACGCGATGGTCGCCGTGCGGGGGCAGCTCAAGTTGCGGGGACAGGCAGCGGACAAGGCCGCGCACGACGCCAACGCAGAGGCGGGAGCGCCGGTGAAAGCGTCGTCTATGATGGTCGAACGAGTGTTCACCGCCCGCCTCGACGGTCCGGACAGGTACATGGTGGCTCGACGAAAGGAGCGAAAGACGGCCGCCGGGGCTGGCACTGCCGTCGAGGTGGTGGCGGGGTTGGAGAAGATGGCGAACTCCGCCGTCACGATGGTGCAGAGAGAAGGCGCCGACGGCATCACGGTGACTGCGGAGCACAAGGCGCTGCTGGATGACGTGGCGTTGGAGCAGGGTCGCAAGGCGATCGTGGCGAGGGTGGCGTCAAATTACCGCCAGCACACGGCGTGGCTGGCGTCTTTTGCGACGTTTGTGCAGTGCTTTTACCCGTGTGGATGGCGGCACAACCCGCCGCTCGACGGAAGCGAGGGCGCAGGGACAGCTATCGACACGCGGCTGGTGGCGCTATACTTGGCGATGGTGGCAAACAGGCTGGTGCCGTTGGGAGGGTTTGTGTGCGACCATGTGGACGGGACAGCATCGTTTGCAGCGAAGGGGAGGAAGGCGGCGCACACCAAGGGCGCGGAGGCAGGGGAGCGGTACTATGGCATGGCGTACGTGAAGACCTTCCTCGACAATACCAAACAACTCTAACACACTCACACGTCATTCAATACCAAACAACTCTAACACTCACACGTCATTTGGGGCCTGGAGCCCCTGCAAAATGATGTTTATGGAGGTTTAAAGTTTGCGGGGGGGGGGACAGCTTTGGGCGGTCGACTTCAATTTGGGGGGGTTTACGACGGTTTTGGGGATCCTGCCGACGCGGCCCTGTTCACGCGCGCGCGAGACGTGCAGACAGGGTTGCCAGGTGAGAGCGAATGGCGCGGTTCACGCTCGACAATACCAAACAACTCTAACACACTCACACGTCATTCAATACCAAACAACTCTAACACTCACACGTCATTTGGGGCCTGGAGCCCTGTTCACGCGCGCGCGAGACGTGCAGACAGGGTTGCCAGGTGAGAGCGAATGGCGCGGTTCACGCCTCGCACAACAGAGAGAGAGATGCGCTCTGCATGGACCATGGTGGGACATAAAAGAGAGCGAGTACTTGGGCGAGTAGGCCGTGCGGTCAACGCTGCCGCGCGCGACTTTGCGCGCGAGGCGGCGCAGCTTGAGAACGGCGGTGGGCGAGAAGCCGCCGCCGAACCGCACGCAGTTCGTCACGCAGCCGATGTAGAGCTCTACAGCTCTACAGCGCTCCAGAGCGCTCTACATCTCTACAGCTCTACACAGCGCTCTACACTCTACATCCTCTACACCCTCCCTCAGCTCGGGGGACGCAGGGCCAGGGGTCACACCCGACGACCTCGGGAACTATAGCCGGGGCAGTCGGAGAAGGGGCAACTCCGTGCACTGACGGTCGGCCGCCAGAAAACACGCCTGCGTGGATCGCGTCACACCAATCCTCAAACTCCCCCAACATTCCCCTGACAGCAGCGCCCCACGGCGTGGCCGTGGGCTGCGAGGTCACTCGGGGTGACCCAGGGGGCGGCGGGGGAGCACTCTCCCGCCGGAGTAGCGGGCGGTCTTCCCGCTACTCGCTCGTAGCCCACCACCTTCCCGACAGCCCCACCCACTCGGTTTGTCCTCACTTCTCCCCCCTGCCCCGCCCCCCTTCAGGCAAGGCCCTGGCCACCAAAATCGCGCTCTGCGCTCCGGGAACGGGCAGCAGCGCGACGCAGTTCGAGAGCGAGCGGCGGCGGCGGCTTAGCACCAACCATGTCAGTGCAGGGGCTTGCTGCGTGGGCCTACTGTCTGAATACGTTTTCCACGTATTCCAAATGACCTCCCAGAGGCCTGTATTCCACCCGTATTCCACCCGTATTCCACGTATTCCATGGAATACGCCGTATTCCAAGCTCCAAAAATGGACGTATTCCGTATTATAAATTTTCTTCGCTCCGCGAATTCAGACAGTAGGCTGGGCCCCCGCCACCGGACTCCGTCGGGCTTGCGTCTCCCTGCCCGCTGAGGGGAGCGCAGTGTGTGTGTCCATGTCTGTGTCTGTGTCTGTGTCCCTGTCGTGTCGTGTGTGTCGTGTGTGACTCTCGCAAGCTCGCCTCCCACATCGTCCATCCATCGACCGAGTGCGAGCCATGCAGCGTGCTCGCAGTGCCGCTCGCAACGTCAGGGGTCGTCCGAGGATTCCTCTAGGGCCCCTGCACGAAAAAAAAGTCTCGCTAGTCGCTCCCCAACGCGGCCAAAGGATATCCACCTCGAGAACCTCGAGAGAACAGCACCGAAAAGAAATCGCGCGCGGCGATGCAGTCGCTTCGCATGCATCGCGCCTGCTTGTTACTCTCGGCCGTCGCTGTCCGCGGCTTCCACAGCGTACCGCCTCCGCAGCGGCAGCCCGCCGTCGCGCGCTCTCCGCAGCGCCGCGCTGTCGCCCTGGCCAGCGGCGGCGCCGCCGCCTCTGCGACGGCCGCCGAGGCCAGGCTGCTCGAGCTGCTCTCCGGCACTGAGGGCCGCGGCGCGGCGATGACGGCGGACGAGGACGCCGAGGTGCACCGCCTGGCAACCGAACTTGAGGCCGACAGCACGTCTGGCGCCACCAACGACTCGCCGCTGCTGCCTGGGCGTTGGCGGGTGCTCTACCAGGGCAAGCCTGGCGGCGAGAGGACGGAGTTCTTCTCCCTCGAGTCGTGGCGCAAGTATCTCTCTGGAGACGGCCCGTCCCCGATCCAAAACCTCGTCTCGGGGTCGTCGACTGTCTCGCGGCTCTACCAAGTCGTCGAGCTGAGCGAGGGCGGCGAGGCGGGCCGCATCAACAACGTGGTCGACCTCTCTCCGCGGGCGGTCATCGCCATCGAGGCGCAGCTCGTGGGCAAGCCATCGCCCAGCCGGCTCAGCTTCCGCTTCAGCGGCGGGCGCGTGCTCGTGCGCACCCTCTGGAACGCCACCCTCAACCTGCCCTACCCCGTCCCCTTCGCCCTGCTCGGCGACAACGCAAAGGGCTGGCTGCAGTCAGACTACCTCTCGCCCTCGCTCCGCCTCTCGCGCGGAAACAAGGGCTCGCTCTTCGTCCTCGTCCCCGAGCCGCAGCCCGACGACCCGGAGCTCGAGGCGCTGCTTCAGCCGCCGCCGCCGCCGCCGCGCCGCGCCGCGGCCGCCTCCCTGACCAAGGAGCCGGTCCTCATCTGCCCCGCCCAGTTCGGGACCGAGGCGGACTACGCGGAGCTCGTCGCCGCCCTCGAGGCGCGCGGCCACCCGGTCGGCGTCGCGCCTCTCGTCTTCACCGACTGGCTGCAGATCCTCAAGTCGATCCCAACCCCAGAGTACTGGCGCGCCGACCTCTCGCCCGACCAGGCGCTGCCGAGCTCTCGGCCAGCGCTCGGCCATCTCTCGGCTATCTCTCGGTCAGCTCTCGGCCAGCTCTCGGCCAGCGCTCGGCTATCTCTCGGTCAGCTCTCGGCCAGCTCTCGGCCAGCTCTCGGCCAGCGCTCGGCTATCTCTCGGTCAGCTCTCGGCCAGCTCTCGGCCAGCTCTCGGCCAGCTCTCGGCCAGCGCTCGGCTACCTCTCGGTCAGCTCTCGGCCAGCTCTCGGCCAGCGCTCGGCTATCTCTCGGCTATCTCTCGGTCAGCTCTCGGCCAGCTCTCGGCCAGCGCTCGGCCATCTCTCGGCCAGCTCTCGGCCAGCTCTCGGCCAGCTCTCGGCCATCTCTCGGTCAGCTCTCGGCCAGCTCTCGGCCAGCTCTCGGCCAGCTCTCGGCCAGCTCTCGGCCATCTCCCGACTATCTCCCGACTATCTCCCGACTATCTCTCGGCTCGATCTCAGCCGGTGAGCCGTCTCGACGCCCTCCTCCCCTCCCCTCCTCCGACCCCTCCCTGCAGGCGCTGCCCTTCTACTACAAGGCGATCGAGGCCGGCGCGGCGGCGCTGCGAAACGAGTACCCCGGCCGCAAGGTCCAGCTCCTCGCACACTCGATCGGCGGCTGGATCAGCCGCGCGTACCTCGGCCAGCTGCCCGCCGAGGAGCGCTCCGCCACCTTCTCCGCCCTCGCCACGCTCGGCACGCCACACGCGCCGCCGCCGGAGGGCTTCTTCCGCACCATCGACCAGACGCGCGGCCTGCTCCGCTTCGTCGAGGAGCGCTACCCCGGCGCCTTCCACCCGGAGCTCCGCTACCTCACCGTCGGCAGCAGAGCGCAGCGGGGCGCGCTGCCGGGCGGCGGCGCCGGCCTCGTCGGCGGCGCGCTCGCGTACGCCTCGTACCTGCCGCTCGGGGGCGAGGGCGGCGTCGAGGGCGACGGAATCACGCCGCTGCGGTGCGCACACTTGGACGGCGCCGAGCAGCGGGAGGTTGACGCGTACCACATCGCCTTTGTGCCCGGGAGCGGCACGCGGCTGCTGGGCTGCCGCTGGTACGGCTCGCCAGACGTGGTGGGCGAGTGGGCGGACTTCTTGCGGTGACGGCACATACATCGAGATCTCTGCGGGACACCAGTAGATTTGTTGAGTGGAGATCGTAGATGCCGATCAGAGATCTTCCACACACAGCATCTCTCACAAAACTCAGAGGTCTTTAACTGAAGATAGAGATCTTGAGCTGCCGCCATCGGCACCTCGTCCTCGAGATCTCAGGCCGGAGACGGAGATGTTGACTTCGCGCCGCAAAGGCGAGCTCGAGAATCGTGTGGCCGACTGGAGATTGCAAAATGGCGCGAAAAGAGGGTGGAGATCCGCTTGAAGGTGTGAAAGGAAAAGAGCACCGTGGAAGGACGACGATCCCTCCCCTGACACGCCTCCCCCACGAGATTGGAGATTGGAGATCGGAGATGAAGATCGGAGCTGAGCCCTGGCCTCGACACCTCGACACCAAACCTCGACACCAACTCGACACCTCGACACCCCATGCCAACTCGACACCCTCGACACCCCTCGACACCCCTCGACACCATCTAGGCTGGTACCACGCTCGTCCGTGTCAAGGTGCCAAACTCGACACCTCGACACCGCTCGACACCGCTCGACACCGCTCGACACCGCTCGACAACCGCTCGACACCGCTCGACACCTCTGATGATCTAACACAGCAGAGACGTAGACCCATTTGGAGTCACAGAGTTAGAAAATCAGGGTTGCAGCAGCAATACTTGGCTGGCAGTACTTTTATCCCTCAGTTGCAGCCTCTCAAAAGTTCTAGGTCAAGTTGCGGCTCAGTTGCACCCCCCTGTTGATGTAGCAAACATGGCAGTACTCAGGTAGCCCTCAGGTGCTGCACAGCACCTTGTACAGTGGCAATGAATCCTCACACCAGTGAGCTTGTGCCATGAGTGCAGACCTGTGGTCCATTGCGCTTTGTGCACTGGCGACGCTCGGCTGAATGCGCCACCGCAAGCACCACCTCCGACCGCACAACCCATGCTGTGCCCGTGACCACCAGCTGTAATAGAGTAGAGGTGAGGGTCGGTCTTGGAATTTCAAAGCCAATGTTGAACCAAAGGATGAAGGATCCAGACCACGATGACAGAAACGGCCCGGAAAGCACCGAGGTTGATATTACCTTCGTTCGGTTTGGGACGGGACGGGGAACTTTTGCGAGTGGGCAGGGGACTGCAGGGGGACAGGGGGAGGGAGGCCCAGCGAGGGGCTGCGGCTGGATCCTAATGCGCGGGTGGACTAAAGACGCACTAAACCTCGCTAAATCTGGATGTAAAGTCGCAGTGAACTCGCGCTAAATTTGCGCTAAATTTGCGCTAAAGTTGCGCTAAATTTGCACTAAAGTTGCGCTAAATTCGCACTAAAGTTGCGCTAAATTCGCGCTAAAGTGCGCTAAAGATGCAGTAGATAAACACTTCACACCGCACTAAATTTAGACCCAAGCGCCCTCCTTTACATTGCCTCCCCCCGACCGACTATGGAGGACCCGTCGCCAGACGACGCAGGGCAGACGACGGTGAGGCGGAGCAGTCGCGCAGGGCGAGACGAGGGAGGGAGCAGGACGTTGCGGAGATCAGCAGGAGGATGTACGAAGAGATTAGGAGCAGCAGGGACCCGAGGGACCAGGTGGAAGACGGCTAGTGCTAGTCCCCCATCGGGAGGACGACCCCGGCTAGTCGCCGAACCACACCCACAAAGAACCCTGCACAAAGACCGCAGGGCGGGGACCTGTTCCTTTTTACCCATCTCCTAGTAGAGGTGTCCGTTTTATTTATTTATTTACTATCAAGAAAGACACCGAAAAAAGTCGCCGCTGCAGTCCACGACGAGCCAGCCTGCTGCCGGCTCGCACGGCAGCCTCTTCCTATGGACCAGCCTCGACTTCCATACAGTCAACATTTTGTCGCTGCGTGCTCGTGGTGAGCTGTGGCGGCGGTCGAAGTTCGCCCAGATTCGGTGACGAGCGCCGGACGATAGTACCGCCTCTGTTCGCCCTGTGCATGTCAGGCCAGGCTGCAGCAGGGCACTACCAACGTGCTGCCCTGCTGCAGCCTGACTTTGCCCACTGTGCACAGTCGCCAGAGCACCACCACCGCCCGGCATCGTGTCACGGCGAGCTCCTTCTGCGCCCGCTCGCGAGGCTCTCGCGCTGGCACACTTTGGCCATCTGCTGCTCGCGTTCGGCGAGCTCTTCTCCGCACTCCTGCCACGGTGCCGTCACCACACACCTTCTGGCTGGCCTGAGCCGCGCGGGGTCGCCGGCGGGGGCAACGCGTCGACCTCTCTCTCTGGCGCACCACGGGCCGCAACGGCCTGCGAGCAGCGTGCGCGAGGAGGCAGTGTGCCGGCACAGTCGAGCCGGAGCATCGGGTTCTTGATGCTTCTGGGGTCAAGTTTGACCTTATGTGGTATAATATGCAACAATAATGCTATGCTCTCACCCAGCCTTTTGAGATATGATCCCTCAAAGTCGAATTTTCGTTTACTGGTGACCATAGTACCGTTTGTCTTGTTTGCGTTTCTTCAAACGAATCCTTTAAAGTCTCGACAATCACTCAGCTGCTTATGTGGCACCGCAGAGGCTCCCTTGGGGATGCCTGAGGCCACCCCAACCACACACTAAGCCGTACGTAGACGAATTGGGCGCTACTTTTTTCGTTTACCCACATTATGCGAGTACCTCTCTCTCTACTAGCGTCGGAGCCAAGAAACCACGGCGTGGGGTGGGTGAGGGGTGTGGAAAGGCTAAGAAACGGCGGCGGCGCCAGCGCTGTTTTTCTTAATGCCCGCAACCCACTCCAAAAGAAAGACACTTCGGATGTTTCCGCGAAATTTATACGTCAGTTCGGGGCCCTTGCTTTGCGCCGGGCATCCATCAGAAGCCGCTGTCGGGTACAGTCCACATGCTCTCCTTCCTCGCGCCGCTCAGCATCTCGCTTGCCTTCCTCGCCGGCGTCCGCCCGCCCGTCACGGCCGCTCGCGCGCGTATCGTCGCCACCGCCCCCGAGCAAGCCACCGAGGCAAAGCCTGCGGTGAAGCCAGCCGCTGCTGACTGGCTTCCTCTCGGCAAGTACCGCTTCTCCGACGACACCGTCGGGTCCGGAGCGCAGCCGACAGAGGGCGACGTGGTCGTGCTGCACTACTCCGTGAAGTTTGCGAGCGGCGAGGAGCTTGGCTCCTCGCGCGGCCGCTTCCCCCTGACCTTTGCGCTCGGCAAGCACGATGTCGAGATCTTTGCCGACGCGCTTCGAGGCTCTTTCGAATCGGGCGCGGAGCCGATGAAGATCGGCGGCCGCCGCCGTGTGCAGGTTCGCTGGAACCAGATCCCGCCGCTGCAGCGGCCAAACGTGCCCAAGGACCAGGAGGGCGAGCCGCTGGTGGTCGACCTCGAGCTGGTCCGCGTCGAGACGGGCGCGCTCGCGCAGCTCATCTCGGTCCTGCCGCCGGGCGAGCGGCGCAAGACCATCCTGCGCACCCTCTTCGCCCTCTCCTTCCTCCCCTACCTCCTCCCCAACGACCAACGGCCGCCCGGGTTCCGCTTCGGCGACCCGGTGGCGATTGGCGAGGCGCGGATCGAGCGGCAAGAGGCGGCTAGCAGCTCGCTCTTCCTCGGCGGTGACGGCAGCTCGCTCGACTCGCTCTTCCCCTGAGCCGACTCCCTCCCCCGCGCATCGTTTGTGAAGTCAACCTGTGAGAATCATTGTGACCCCGCCACTCTGTCCACTTCCGTGTCCCACCCCGCCCACCTCCTGTCATTAGCGATGTTAGCGGCCCGTCGCAAGTGTATCATACGCTCTCGTCAGCGTTGGCGTTTCACCCCTTTATAACTTGTATAGCTCTCGGCTTTGCGTCTCTACTCGACCCTCGAGTCTCGGACCTCGGAGGAGCGACACGTGTGGCGACTCACTCGCGGCGCCAGTCAATCTCTCTATCTCTGTGCCTGCATGCCATGTATGTCCGGTGTGCGCGTCGCCGTCGCCACCTCCGCTCAGCCTCAGGCGTGCGCCGCGCCGTTCGCCGCGCCGTTCGCCGCGCCGTTCGCCCCGCCCCGCGCCTCCGCCCCGCCCCTCCATCGGAGCCCGGCCTCGCTCTCCCACCACTCGACCAAGCGTCGCATCGCCTCCGCCACGTGCTCCGTCGTGCCGGGGAAGGAGAGCCGCACGCGCCGCTCGCCGACCCCGGACCCCTCCTCCTCGAAGTCCACGCCCGGCGTCACCGCCACGCCCGCGTCCTACTCACAGCCAGCCGCCCTCACGGCCCTCCTCTCTGGCACACCCCGCGCCGCCACGGCCCCGCGTCCTGCAGCAGCGCATCGCACATGCCGAGCGAGTCTGCCACCCCGAGCCGTCCCAAGTCGGCGTACAGGTAAAAAGCGCCTGCGCGGGGCGGAGCAGTGCGGTCGGCGGCGAGGCGCCGCGTCGGGCGAGGCGCGCGGCAGAGGGCGGGCGAGGCTTACCTTGCGGCGGTGCGTACTCGTGCGTCTGCACGCCTGGGAGGGAGGCTCCGAGGAGGCTCAGGGAGGCTCCCTGCTGCCGCGGCGGCGCTCGCGGGTGCGTCTGCTCGCCCATACGCTGCAGGCCGGAGACGACGACGGCGCGGTTGTCCTCGTACCTCTTCACGTGCTGCGCCAGCTCCGCCGCCGCCTCCTCGCCGAGGGCGGCGACGGCCGCGCGCTGGCTGACGGTCGGAGCGGAGACGTTCATGTTTTGGTTGAGGGCCTAGGAGGAGGGGGGGCTCCGAGGGGGTGCTCCGAGAGGGCTCCGAGGAGGCTCCGACCTCCGCCGCGTGGGTGGCACGTCGACGCACGAGTCGAGATGGTCTGGCGCGATCAGCCAGCCGAGCCGCCAGCCCGTCATGCTGTAGGCCTGAGTGGCGAAGGACCAGTGCTGGTGACTCTTCTCCTCTCCTCTCCTCTCCTCTCCTCTCCTCTCTTCTGAGCGGGTCAGGACTAGTGCTGGTGACTGGGCCAGAGCCGAGCCGCCAGCCCGTCCTGCCGTAGCTGCAGGCCTTGGAGAAGCCTGAGGGGCCGGGGGAGGGGTGCGGAGTCGGGCGGGTCGATGGTTGCCCACTCCTAGGGAGGGGCACTCTCTCTCTCTGTCGGGCGGCTGGGGCTTGCTCGGCGGCTGGGGCTTGCTCGGGCGGTGCGGGGGAGGAGGAGGGCTTTGAAGCGAGGCCCCGGGGTCTCGCTCCCTCTCTCCCCGAGGTCTCACCGTTGATGATGATGGGCGAGGAGGAGTCTAGGAAAGGTCTAGGAAAGGTCTAGGAAAGGTCTCACCGTTGATGATGATGGGCGAGGAGGAGTACTCGAGGGCGCAGGCGGCGCGAGGGGCGCCCTGCGAGACAGCCGTGCGGTTGAGAGCTCGTCCAAGACCGAGAGGAGGCGAGAGGAGGCGAGAGGAGGCGAGAGGAGGCGAGAGGAGGCGAGAGGAGGCGAGAGGAGGCGAGAGGAGGCGAGAGGAGGCGAGAGGAGGCGAGAGGAGGCGAGAGGAGGCGAGAGGAGGCGAGAGGAGGCGAGAGGAGGCGAGGCGAGGCGAGGCGAGGCGAGGCGAGGCGAGGCGAGGCGAGGCGAGGCGAGGCGAGGCGAGGCGAGGCGAGGCGAGGCGAGGCGAGGCGAGGCGAGGCGAGGCGAGGCGAGGCGAGGCGAGGCGAGGCGAGGCGAGGCGAGGCGAGGCGAGGCGAGGCGAGGCGAGGCGAGGCGAGGCGAGAGAGAGAGAGAGAGAGAGAGAGAGAGAGAGAGAGAGAGAGAGAGAGAGGGAGAGGAGGGAGAGAGAGAGAGAGAGAGAGAGAGAGAGAGAGAGAGAGAGAGAGAGGAGGGAGGAGAGGGAGAGAAGAGAGAGAGAGAGAGAGAGAGAGAGAGGAGGGAGAGGGCGGGAGCAGGAGGGCGCCTGTGCGGTCGCAGTGCTCACAGAGCGCCTTGAGCTCCTCCGGCGTCAAGATCGCGCCGGTCGGATTCGCGGGGCTCGAGAGGATCAGGCCCTTGATGGCCGGCAGCCCAGCTGCTGCGCGGTCGTGTTGGCCAGCGGCTAGGACCGCTGCAGTGACGTTGTACTTTGCGTCGACGGGAAGGGAGATGACCTCGACGCCGTAGCACTGCAGCAGGTTGCGGTAGCATGGGTAGCAGACCGCGGGCACAGCGACCGCATCTCCGACGTCAAAAGCTGCCATGAACGCGATCGTAAAGGCGCCGGACGAACCAGGCGTCAGGTGGATGCGGTCGGTGGAGACCGTGACGCCGTACTCGCGAAGGTACATGTCTGCTATCGCCTGGCGGAGCGGCGGCTCGCCGCGTGCAGACGTGTAGCCGCACCGGTCCGCGGCCAGCTGCTCCTGCGCCACTCGGATGGCGGGCTGCGGCGCTGAAGACTGCGGCTGCCCCACCTCGAGATGGTAGATCTCGCGACCAGCGCGGGCGAGACGGTCAGCCTTGGCAACCACGTCCATCACCTTGAAGGAGCGGATCGCCGAGCGGCGCGAGGGTGCGAGATTGGGAGTGTCAGACTTTTGCATGGGTTTCCGTGCACGTTGTGCGAGCGCAGGCGCGCGCAGGCCCCGAAGAGAGAAAAGAATTTCACAACAAAGGCGAGAGAAAAGAATTTAAACAAGCAGGGTATGCGGCGCGCTCGGCATGAAGGAGCAGTTCGAGGCGGCGATGGCGGCGGGCGAGCTGCTCGAGATGCTCGAGAGCTTGCCGCGAGGGCGGTCGAGGCCTCCGTTCGGCTGATGCGCGGTTACAACGGCACGAAAATCCTGCAAAGGTGGGGACGTGTCTGTCCTCGACCCAGCCCTAGCTTGGGATGTCCGTTGTATTTATTTATTTATTTAATTTAAACAAGCAACTCTCGCTCACAGCAGACAGGCTCGACACAGGTGCGAACTGGCGCGTGCTAGTACTATCACAGGCACACCACCGGAGCCGCCTAAGCGACTCCGTTAAGAACGGCAATGCACTTAGCACCGTGCACAATGCCGCTGTCCCCGCACGCTAGCTCGTTCACCGTCTGCCACGCCACGGCGGTGTGGAGAACGACAGACAAGCATTAATACCGCGTTTTTTTTATTGAGCCGAATGTGAGTTCGAATTCGTAGGAGGCATCTAGAGCAAAATTGAGTCTGCTCAGGTGTGAACAAAAAGTACACATTATAAGGGTCGAAGGTTTCGAACTGGGGGCCTCCCGCTCGCGGGGCGGCACTCGGCGAAGAGACCTTGGAAGAGAGCGACGGGGTACCGGCGGGCGACCTCTATAATATAGCATACCGACGCGAAGTGGGGTTCTGTCTCCAGTCTCGGTGGTCGGAGGGGGGGCAAAAAGATACGAATATGTATTTTTTTCGTGTCTACCAACGCGGTTTCGTGTGTAGGACTCATTGCCGCCCCACAGGGGAGGATGTGGACCCCGCCCTCTCTGCGAGACCGCCGGACGCAGCGTCGTGTGCGACGCGCGCAGGGTGTGTCAGTGAGACGGCGGGAGCCTCTCCGGCCCGAACGCCTTCGGGTGCGGCGGTGGAGGCCGTGAGAGCTCAAGACGGCCCTCTCTGCGTGTGTCCCTGGGCGTGGCGACGCGCGTGTCCCCAGGCTAGGCGGCGACGGCGGCCGACTCCTCTCCCGCCTCCTCCTCCTCGGGCTCCTTCCACATGCCGTTCTCCTTGATGAGCTCGATCAGCTGGTCGCACGCGTCCTCGTTCGGGATGCCTCGCCGCACCACCTCCTTGCCCACGTACAAGTCGACCTTGCCCGGCGCGCCACCCACGTACCCAAAGTCGGCGTCCGCCATCTCGCCGGGCCCGTTGACGATGCAGCCCATGATTGCGATCGCGACGCCCGGCAGGTGGCCTATACTCGCGCAACGAGGGGGGGGGCGGTGGGGGGGCGGGCAATGCACACGGCGCGGGGGGGCGCGGGCGGCGGCCGCCGGTGCGGGAGGAGATCTGCGCGGTCACCTCCTGCAGGTCGAAGAGAGTGCGGCCGCAAGAGGGGCAGGAGACGAACTCGGTCTTGGTGGAGCGCATCCGCGCGCCCTGCCGCGGCGCGAAGGAGGCTGAGCGGAGGGGGTGTCTGGGGAGGTGTCTGGGGAGGTGTCTGGGGAGGTGTCTGGGGAGGTGTCTGGGGAGGTGTCTGGGGAGGTGTCTGGGGAGTGTCGCCTGCAGCAGCCCGAAGGAGGTTGTGCGGAGGAAGTCGGTACCGAACGAGGCGCCCTCCTGCGGCACGATGGCGACGCCGTCGCCGAGCCCGTCGCAGAGCAGGCCGCCAACCTGGGAGGGCGGCGGAGGCGGGTCTGCGGCGCGGCGGAGGCGGCGCGGAGGGGGAGGGGGGACTGCCGGCTAGTCTCCTGTGAGCCGAGCTGCAGCGCGAGCTCGTTCCCGTCCGATGGCGGGGGGCGGAAGGCGTGGATGACGGCCGAGTCGATCCCCTCCTGCTCGAAGAGGGAGAAGACGCGGCGCGAGGCGTGCAGCCGCGAGAGGGAGGGCGGAGGGTCCAGCAGCACGAAAGCGTGCGGCAGCGCCTTCAGCTGGCGCACCTCCTCGGCGCTCTCCTGAGGCGGCGTCGCGGACGTGTCACGGGCGCGTGCTTGGCAGCCCTCTGGCGGCGCCCCCTCCGCTCGCTCTCCTCGCCGCTCAGGCGGACGACGACGCGGCCGGCGCAGGGCGGCGCCGCGCCGCTCGCAGCCTCCTCGAGCGAGACGAGGGCGACTGCGCCTTCGACGGGCGCGGCGGCGAGGGCGGCGGCGGGGATGACGGGGAGGATGGCGACGTCCATCAGCCGCTTGAGCGTCTGGCGGCCGAGCGTGTCGTCGAGGGGCGGGGGAGCGGAGAGGAGGAGCGTGTCGGTGGTGGAGATGTCCTTGAAGGGGAGGCCGACCACCTGGTGGGACGCGTCCAAGGACGTGTCCAGGACGTGTCCGGGGCGTGTCCACGGAGAGGGGTGCACGGAGAGGGGTGCACGGAGGGGAGAGGGCGCCGTCTTGCAGCCGAGGGAGGCGTACAGCTGCTGCGGCTCGCGGAGCGCCTCGGGCTCGACCTACGGGACGTGTCCGGGACATGTCCGGGACGTGTCTGTGGAGCACGCTCGCGCGTCAGCTTCATGCTCGACCGCGCTCAGCACAGATCCGTCTCGGTTGAGCAGTCCGCGGTAGTCGAGCTGGTCGCCCTCCTGCGGCGGGGGAGAGGGGGGGGGAGGGCGGTGGTGTGGTGGTGTGTGGGTGGGTGGGGGGGGGGGGGAGGCGAGGCGCGCAGGAGGAGGGAGGGGGGGGGGGGTGAGGGGGGTGAGGGGGTTGGGTCACCCGCTGCTCCGGCACAGGCTATGGGGTGTCTAGGGGGGCGTCCAGGAGGTGTCTGGGACGAGCCACCTGCTGCTCCGGCAGCCTGCCCGACCGGCGCGCAAAGGACTGGAAGTCGCGCGAGTCGGTGTACGACGCGACCGCCCGCTGGCCGGCGAGCTCGGCGGAGTCCGAGTGGCGCGCGGTGCCTGGAGGAGAGGGTCCGGAGAGGGTCGGGCGCGAGGTCCTGCCGAGGCGGTCCGAGCGGGCGGGCCGGCGCCGATCTCGGCGAGCCGGTTGCACGGCGCGTACTCGCACTCTGGGTCCTCCGTCAGAGAGACGCGGATCGTGTCCCCGAGGCCGTCGGCGAGGAGGGCGCCGATGCCGATGGCGCTCTTCATGCGGCCGTCCTCTCCCTCGCCCGCCTCGGTCACGCCCAGGTGCAGCGGGTAGTCCCACCCGAGCCGCCTCATCTCCGCCGCCAGCAGGCGGTACGCCTGCACCATCACCAGCGGGTTGGACGCCTTCATCGAAAAGACAAAGTTGTGGAAGTCGAGCGAGCGGCAAATGTCGGCGAACTCGATCGCGGACTCGACCATCCCGCGCGGCGTGTCGCCTACTCGCGGTCTCCCCTCCCCCTCCCCTCCCGCCTCTCGGGCCCCCCTCTCTCCCCTCCCGCGCGGGTGGGGCGCCGTAAAAGGAGAGGACTCGCGCCGAGAGAGAGCCGTGGTTCGTGCCGATCCGCATCGCCCGGTTCAGCGCCTTGCACTTCTCCACCAGGGGCGTGAAGGCCTCGACGAAGAAGGCGCGCTCCTTGAAGTAGTCCTCGTCCGTCTCGTACACCGTCTCCTCAAACGTCTTCCGCCCGTCCACAAAGTTGCCCGGGTTGATGCGGATCTTCTCGACGGCGTCCGCGACGGCGAGCGCTACCTTGGGCGCGAAGTGCATGTCGGCGCAGAGCGGGATGTCGTACCCGCGCTCGTCGAGCCCCTTGCGGATCGCCATGCACGCCTTCGCGTCCTTCATCCCCACCACAGTCACCCGCACAAGGTCGAAGCCCTCGTCGGCGCACTTGATCACCTGCTCGATGGTGCCCTCGACGTCCGACGTGAGCGTCGTCGCCATCGTCTGCCGCACGAGCGGGTGCTCCGAGCCAAACTTGATCGGGCCGCACTCAACGGTCCGCGTCTCCCGCCGCTTCACCTCGTACAGGTCCGTGGCGTACAGGTCGAGCGGGCCGTACGCGAGATCGCGCGGCGTCTTTCCCGGCTCGCCGCGCGCCGACGGCGACCACTGCACCGCATCCAGCACGGAGAGCTTGGAGGAGTCGAGCACCTTCTCCTCGATGTCGGCCTCGACGCCGCTGCGGTCAATCTCCTCGTCCAGGAGAAGCTCCTTCTTGCTGGTGAAGCCGGCGTCCGACATCATGCGCACCGCCGGCCGCGAGGCGGCGCCGGCCGAGACCGGAACGGTCGGGCCCGCGAAGAGGGCGACCGAAGCGCCCGCGGCGGTGATAATGAGAAGCATCTGTGGAAAGCCGCTGCGGGGACCCCGCTGTGGTCGGCGGAGGGAGAAGGCCGCGGGCTGGGAGCTCACCGACCGAGAGCTGTGCTATTGACGAAAAGAAATCCAGCGGTAACGAGCGTGATCCAATCAAAGAAACAAGGTGCGGGACAGACTAAAACATACTTCCTGCTTCGACGGGGTTTGTGTTGAGGAGTGACCCGTGCCGCCGTGTGCCCCGCAGCGGCCTCGCTGGGCCAGAAAGTCGGTAAAAATTAAACTGGAGCGAGGAGAGTGATCAAAAAAAGAAACAAGGTGCGGGACAGACCAAAACATACTTCCTGCTTCGAAGGGGTTTGTGTTGAGGAGTGACCCGTGCCGCCGTGTGCCCCGCAGCGGCCTCGCTGGGCCAGAAAGTCGGTAAAAATTAAACTGGAGCGAGGAGAGTGATCAAAAAAAGAAACAAGGTGCGGGACGCGATTGGAAAAGTCGGTAAAAGAGCGCGCGATCAAGAAGAAGAAGAAACAAAGGGAGCGGTACCCAAAGAAAAAAAAGCGCCGGTTTCGCGGGAGCAGGGCGGCGTCAGCCTTTTTGCGCCCCGAGTCATGCCCCGCCGACGCGCCTCCGCGCCGCGCCCAGTGAGCCCGCCGCCCGTTCCAGAGAACGTGGTGTCGGCGGCGCATGAAGGCTTGGTCCTTCCGATTCGGACGTGGATCAGCGGCGGCGGCAAGGCCGACGCGACCTTTGAGACAAGCGGGGCTAGCAGACGGACGCTCCTGATGCATGCGGCCGCCAACGCTCAAGAGAGTGTGGCCGAATTGCTTCTTAAGCGGGGCGCGCAGGTCGACCTACAAGACAGCAACGGCACCACCGCGCTGCTGGAAGCCGCCCAGAGGGGCCACGTGCAGGTGATGGACTTGCTGCTCAAGCGCGGCGCAGAAGTCGGCCTAGCAAACAACGACGGCGTGACCGCGCTGACAGCGGCCATGCTCCTCGGAAAGACCGAAGCCGCGCACTGCCTGATGTCGGCCATCGCGGACAATCGAGAAGCGTGGGTGCAGTCGGTGCTCGACCGCGGAACCGGGCGGGTCAACGCGGCCTCAATGCGCGGGCGGTTGGCCCGCGTGCCGCGGTGTGGCGCGGCCGAGCAGGCTGAGCTCGCGCGGCGGGAGGAGGCCGCCGACGCCGCAGCCGTCACGCTGCTCGCCGAAGAGGCGGCACAGGCGGCCGCCGCAGAGATGAAGGCGGCGCGCTCAAAAGCCCGCAACATCGGCAGACGGCTGCGCGTGAAGAACAAAAAGAAGGAGATGGAGAAGGAGAAGGAGAAGGAGAAGGAGAAGGAGAACGAGGACGCGTCGGCGCGGATCACCATTAAGGGGCTTGTCGGCAGGTTCGGCCTAAGGGTCGACCTCAACGAGCCGGTCGTCGCGGTCAAGCGACTCATCGCTCAGCGCGAGGGCGTGCGCGTCAAGGCCCAGCGCCTCATCTTCTTTGGGACGCCGCTCGAGAACGGCCGCACCCTCTCCGACTACAACATCGTCGCGACCGACTCGGTGGACCTGCTTCTGCGCAACCTGGGGGGGGCGCGGCCGAGTCTGACTTTGACCCGCCTCCCCTGACCCGCCTCCCACCTACCGCCTCCTGTGACACAATAGGCGAAGCGTAAGCGCCCCCTCGGCTCTGCGGAAGCGCCGACCCCGCCGGCCCCTCCGCCGGCCGCCCCTCCGCCGGCCGCCCCTCCGCCGGCCGCCCCTCCGCCGCCCGAGGCCAAGGACCCGGAGCTGAGGGAGGCCGTGGAGGAGGTTGCGGCAACGCCCCTCCGCGTGCCGAGCTGCAAGACGCCCGGCTGCAACCTCTGCCTCGGGCACGCAGGGCCCTGTAGCAACGCAGTCACAGGCAGGCGGGCGCGGGTTCTCACCGACAAGGCGCGGGAGGCGTCGCCGGCGGCGCAAGCGGAGAGGAAGGAGGCGGCGAAGGCGAAGAGGAAGCAGGCAGCAGATCGAGAGATCTAGCCGAGACCCAGACGAGATCTAGCCGAGATTCAGCCGAGATCTGGCCACTTCTCCGCTCAGGTGGAGGCGGCCAAGGCCGCCCAGGCGGAGGCCGCCCAGGCGAAGAGGGGGAAGTGCACCTCGCCGGCCGCCCCTCCGCCGGCCGCCCCTCCGCCGGCCGCCCCTCCGCCTCCCGCAGTCTGGAAGCCCGAGCCGGCCGGCGGGGACTCACTATCGGCTGCTCCCGTTGCCGCGGCCGAGCCGCGTTCGCTGTGGACCTCGACGGAGGACCTTGCGATCCTGGCCTCCGCGCGGCGCCTCGGCATGCAGTGGCACCGCATCGCCGCCCAGCTGCCCGGCCGCACCGCCGACGCGGTGCGCAACCGGTGGCAGCGGCTGCAAAAGTCGCATTCGCTCGGCGAGACCGAGGAGGGGCGCGCTGCCCTCGACACGATGCTGATCGCGCACGGCTTCGACAAGGACTGGGTACCGCCCAACCTCGAGGCCGGCGGCCCCTACCCCGGCGATATGGTCCGAGCCGCGCCCCTTCCCCGCGCCCCTCGAGCGCGCACCAAACCCCACAGATTCGCGCCATCTGGCCTGCTTCCGTGCGCACGCGCCACGCCAACCCCCTCCTCCGCCCCACAGGGCGTCAAGGCCGTGTGGACTGCCCACGAGGACCAGCTCATCGAGGAGGGCGTCCGCCGTTTCGGCCACAGGTGGCGCCAGGTTGCCGCCTCGCTGCCCGGCCGGTCCGACTCGTCTGTCCGCAACCGGTGGACGAAGCTGCAGCGACCGGTGGACGAGAAGGTCGAGATCTAGCCGAGATCTAGCCGAGATATAGCGGAGACGTAGCCGAGACGTAGCCACGGCTCCTCTTAGGCGAAGGCGGCAAAGGCGGCGAAGAAGTCGGCGGCGGCGGCGGAGGTCGAGATCGAGCCGAGATCGAGCCGAATTATTTGCATCTGGCCTGCTTCCGTGCGCACGCGCCACGCCAACCCCCTCCTCCGCCCCACAGGGCGTCAAGGCCGTGTGGACTACCCACGAGGACCAGCTCATCGAGGAGGGCGTCCGCCGTTTCGGCCACAGGTGGCGCCAGGTTGCCGCCTCGCTGCCCGGCCGGTCCTACTCGTCTGTCCGCAACCGGTGGACGAAGCTGCAGCGACTGGTGGACGAGAAGGTCGAGATCGAGCCGAGATCTAGCCGAGATCTAGCCGAGATATAGCGGAGACGTAGCCGAGACGTAGCCACGCCTCCTCTTAGGCGATGGCGGCGAAGGCGGCAAAGGCGGCGAAGAAGGCGGCGGCGGCAATCGAGATCGAGCCGAGATCGAGCCGAGATCGAGCCGAGATCCAGCCGAGATCCAGCCGAGATGTAGCCACGCCTCCTCTCGCGTGGAGGTGCGCGCCCCTGCACCGCCCTGTGTGCTCGAGTGCTCCGCATGGCCTGGTGCGTCATTGCTACTGCCTCACCCCTTGCCTCGTAGGCCGCCAAGGACGCTTTGGCCGGTGGACGGTACATCTACATCACGGGTTGGCACGGAGGCCGCGCAGGGGGAGGGGTGGTGGCGGCGGAGGAGGAGGGCGGCGAGGAGGGCGACGAGGGCGGAGAGGAGGGCGAGGAAGAGGAGGGCGAGGACGGCGAGGACGGCGAGGAGGACGGCGAGGAGGGAGAGGAGGGAGAGGAGGGAGAGGAGGGAGAGGAGGGAGAGGAGGGAGAGGAGGGAGAGGAGGGAGAGGAGGAAGGAGAGGAGGAGGGGGAGGAGGAGGAGGAGGGGGAGGGGGAGGAGGAGGAGGCGGCGGCGGCGGAGGTGGCGGCAGAGGCGGAGGGCTTGCGGCTGCACCTCTCGAGCAGCAACGCCACCGGGTACGAGGGAGTGCTCAAGCATACCTCTGGCCGCTTCCAAGCGCGGCACAGGGTGGGCGGAAGGCAGGTCTACTTGGGCACCTTCGACACGGCGGTGGAGGCGGCGGTGGCGTACGCGCGGGGCGTTGGGCCGGGGCCCACCGAGGCGGAGGCTGAGGCGGCGGAGAGGCGCCGTCGCCAGGAGGCCCCGCGCTGGCGTGTCGAGATCCGTCGTCACCCAATATACGGCACGGTGCGCAAGGGCGGCTTCAAGACCAAAGGCACCGCGCTCGTTTTCCGCGACTCCTACATCACGTACATGCGCAGCTGCGCCGCCGACCCCGCCGCCGCGAGCAAGGCTGCCTCCGCTGCCGCCATCGCGTGTGCGGGGCAGCTGTGCAGCACCGGCAAGGCCCTCCTCACGCGCGAGGCGGCCGCCGTCTTCGGGCAGAAGGAGGAGCTGGCGGCGCGGGCGGCGATGCCCGAGGCGCACGATCGGCAGGGCGAGGAGCTCGAGGCGGCGCTGCGCTCAGCGCTGCGGGGCGCCGCAGAGGGCACGGCAAAGGCGGAGGGTGCGGCGGAGGGCCTGGCGGAGGCCGCGGTGGAGGCGGAGGCTGCTACAGATGCTTTCGGCCGGTGGACCCGGGCTGTGGCGCAGCCGACCCTCGAGATGGCGCGCGGCGCCCTCTAGTGAAAGGGGAGAGGTGGGGAGAGGTCAGACGTGAGCCGTTGTCGTAGGTGGCGACCCTCCGGCCGTACTCGCTCGAGTGCGCGTGGCACTACGGCGCCAAGCCCGACGTGGAACAATGCGATTGGTGGGCGTTTGCGTGCAAGGCTGCAATGAGGGCGGCGTCGGCCGAGGCGGCGGCGGCGGCGGCGGTCGCCGCAGCGGCCGACGTAACGGGCAGGAAGTCGGCTGCACGCGCAAAGCTCGCAAAGGCCAACGAGCTCGCAAAGGCCGCCGAGGCGGCGCTCGTCGAGGAAGCCGAGGAGGCTGCCGCCGCCGCCAAGGTGGCAGAGGCCGCCGTGAAGGAGGACGACCCGACGTCCAGGAAGGCGGCGGCTGCGGCGAGGGAGCTGGCGGACGCGGCGGCGGCGAAGAAGGAGGCGGCGTCGGCATCCGTCTGGCGCATGGCGGATGCCAAGGCCGAGCACTTTGCCCCTACGGTCCCCACTGTCACACTAGGCATTGCGCCGCTCAGATGTCGACCGCAGAGATGTTTGGTCTGTAATAGGAGTGGACCGATGCGCTGGTCGTCGACGCCGCCACCATCGTGCTCGAGGCGATGCGCGCGCGGCTGCCGTTCACCGCGTCGACCGGCGGCGGCGACTCCTGTATGAGGCTCCAATGGGTCCGCAAGCTGCTGCTCGAGTGGGTGGGGACGCTGGACGGTTTCGACGAGTCGCTTCTCGAGGACCGGGCGTTTCTGCGTTTGGTTCGCACGACGGCGTACGCGTGCCTCGCGTTTCGCGAGGCCGCGGCGCTGATCTGCACCGGCCGGCTGACGCTCTGGATCCGCGCTCGGCAGCAGGTCTTCCCCGGCGACAGCCGAGAGGGGGTCGCGGTGCACGCCGTGCTCGGCGCGAAGACGGCGGCGTTGCAGCCCCTCTTGCAGTCTAGTGAGATGTGCTAGGTCGCACACGCGTGTCCTTCTGGACCCGCATAGGCGTCGCTGTGGGAAGTGCTCAAGTTCTCCGGGCTATGCAGCTCGCAGTGCTTCGAGACAGTGCTCGAGGTCGCCAAGGCGCTCGAGCGGGCGGCGGGCGAGTACGGCCGAGCAATGGCGTCCAGGCTGCTGCTCGCCGCGTCCGAGTCGCCGCACATTTGCACCGGGTACACAATGTATTTCGATCACTAGCTAGAAGTGAGCTGCGAGCTGTACCGTAGTCTGAGTCGCTCCGGTTGCTTGCTGGTGGGGTGGGATGATTTGCGCCGGAGTGGGCTGAGTCCACGGTCAGGGTGCCGAGCTATTGTGTAAACGCTCCGTAGAGAGCCACCAGACAGAGAGTGGCTCAGCCGACAGTCCCAGGCCCCGGCGGGCCCCAGGTCCCAACTCCAGAGACCGCCTAAGCACCTAAGCGGCCTAAGCGGGGGGGCGCTTAGGGTGCTTAGGTGCTTAGGTCGCCCTCGCGAGCGTAGCTACGTGCTGACATTATCATACGAGTGATCCTGAGTACCCACATGATGTGCCTGCCTATCGCTAAGCACGGGATTGCGGCCTCACAACGCTCACGATCCGGTCGAGCCCTCGAATATCACACGCAGCACGTGGGGTGACGGGACGGCTACATGTCAGCGTCGCATGCATCCGCCAGCGCTGCGAACTCCTTGTCCATCCGATTTTTGTACGCGTGCATCGCTGACTTGACCTCCTCCGCATCTACATGGTCCAAGAGATCGCCATCAAAAACCCAAGCTACGGAGTGGAAGCCGCGGTCGTCGGGACCACTGCCAATCCTGCCAGAGACAAGGTACTCCAAGCGCTCGTCGTCTTCATCGACAGGGTTCCTCAGCGCCACCGCAGTCATCTGGCTCGGGTCACAGTAGCGCATGCCGAGCACCTCTTCAATCTCCAGCAAGGCTGCGTCCGTTGACCCGCCAGCCCGAGCGTTGGCGAGTGGCGGCAGAGCGCCGACTTCCCGCATACAATCGCGAATATGGCAAGCCTTCTTGCTCCTGTCGTCGTTCCAGTACCAGCCGGCAGCTGCCGTCTTCTTGCCGCATACGTCGCATCTATCCGCCCGCCGCGGAGGCACTGGACGACGACGGGGACGGTCGCACCGGCTCGCTTTCTCAAGGATGATTTTACGCTTTTGGGGGGATCAAGTCGAGAGGAAGATCTCCGGATCTCGACAAAACGTTTTTCGGAGAAGTGCCTCGGGTGACGAAATAAACTGAGTTACCGGTGCCTGTTTTGAGAAAGAAGAAACAGCTTTTTCGAACCACGTGGCGGCATCGCGTAGCCCTGTCTGAAAACGGCCGAGTTTAACGCCGCCTTTTGCGCGCAAAGAAAAGCCGTGCGAAACGCACATGCACATGCACACGTAACCCCCCCTCCCCCATGCATGTATCTGAGCCACTGCTCAGGACAGGACAGATCCCGCCTGTACACATCTATCCCTAATGCTGCTGTCCCTATCTTGTTGCAGCACAAATCTCGTCACGTCCAGGCCTTCCAACTGCACCGCGGCACCTCGCCTCGTGGTCCGTGAGGCACGGCTTAGAAGGCTGCGAGCGCGGAACGCCAAATTTGAGCGTTTCGAGCGGTTGTTCATGGCGCAAGGGGTACGCAAGAAAACTAACTTTTGAGCGTCGAAGTTACTTCAAAAAGTAAGCTGTTACTTCGAGAGAGCTCGCGGTCCCTACGCGCGGCGTGAGAGCTCGGCCAAGCAGCGACGACAAAAATCCATATACTCGCTGAGACCGACATAGACGCTCATGAGTGACGGCTTTAGATTGCTCAAAAGAATGACCCCCCTGTCTCGTCCTTCCTTCCCAGCTAGTTTTAACGGGAGCAGTTTTTTTTTAGTGCAAGCAGGTTTTTAACTACTAAAAATGGAAGCAAGCTTGCTCCACTTTTTAGTAGTTAAAAAGCCTGATTGTAGTCATCAAGGGTGGAGGAAACTTCGGCGGTGTGAGTACGGACAAAGAAGAGTCGGGAACGACCGTTTTTACGCGGAGATATTTACCTGTAAGAGGAAACTTCGGCTGCCGCTCGCCTGGCAAAGCAGGACTCGAAGGGATGCGCGGCGAATGCATGGTGGGTCATATGTGCACATACAGGCGCATTTTTGGTGCTGAACCGCTTCGTGCACCCCAAGTCTTTGAACATGCAACTTTGTCGCCGACGATCACCTTCCACTCCAACGCACCTTCCACTCGGCTGCTGCTCAATCGGCTGCTCACGAGCGCCGGAGAGCAGCGACAACTGCCCCTTTGGCGTCGAGTGCTGTGCCCAATGGTGGGTGCGCAAGGCTTCTGGGTGGGTCTGGAGAGGGGCCACTTTCATGTGCTTGCTCGTACGTAGGCTACGCTGGAGTGCCGCAACGCCAAGCTCGACGGCACGCGTGCCGTCGACAACGCCTCCTTTGCCCCTCCTTGGACTGGCAGCGGGCTCGTCGCAAAGATGCTCCTCTCCCATGACATGCGGTACACCGCCACAGGCATCACTGAGCGCGACGACCGCTGCGGCACGCGACCGTCTGGCGAGCTGAGCTCGCCTGCGCTGGCAGCAGCAGCTCCGGCTTTAGAGATCTCGTCCACACTGACAGCGATGCATGTGGAATTCAACCAAATTTCTTCATAAAGTTCCATAATTGTGTTGTACCATGGCCCTGGGGTGGCCAGGGGCGCGCAGTGGGCGACGCTACGGGCCGGAAAGTGGCTATCCGTCTTCAAGATGTGCCACACGTGTTCTTGTGAGAACAGCGGATCGTGCAGGTCTGAGACCCGCTTTTGCACGCGCGCCTGGAATGTGCGGCAGCTGGGGAGAGATATTATGGGCTACTCATTCTGAGGTCTTTACTCTACACGCACAGAGGACTGCTAGAAAAACTACTACTCGGACGGATCGAGCATGTCATCCTCGCTTGAGGCAGAACCGCTGCTCGCAGTCTCTCCGCCCTCACTTTCCTCGCTGCTAGCTCCGCTTGCCGCTCCCGTCTCCTCTCCCTCGTCTTCCCCATCACTCCGAGACGCTTGCCGATCCACGACAGGGTCAAAGTTCTCACGACGAGAACCCTCGAGCTCGCTCTCCTCGCCGCTGCGGCCCTCCTCCTCGCTCTCTTCGTCCGTCTCCATCTCCACGTCGGCGTCCGCGCCGCCTTCGCCGGCCTCGCCCATGGTCCTGCATTCGCATTGGTCGCACGCGTCATAGCCGGGCGCAGGTGGGTCTGTGCGTCGGCGTGGGCGGCCGAGGCGGTGTGTGAGCGGCCGGGCAGTCGAGTGGGGCTATGGGGCGCCCCGTGTCCGCGCGGGGTGGCCAGGCTGTGGCTGGGAGTGGAGCGCGGCGGCTTTTGCACCTCCTGTGGAAGCAGCCGTTCAAGCGAGGCGGACCGTGCGACTCGATTGTGGACTTGTGTAGCCGCTCCTGCGCGTGGCGGCCAGGTGGGTGGGTGCACTGGCGGGGTGCAGCGACTCAGGAATTTAGGTGGGCGCAGAGGAGCGCGCGCCGGGCGAGACTGCGGGCCGAACGCGTTACGAAAGGAATGCCGGTGCTTTGCCCGGGTTTACGCAAGGGCCCTCCCTGTGGGGGCCCGTGAACATCTTTAGCTTGTGAGCCAGGAAAAGGGTTGTTTTTTCACGAGGTGACCCTAGGGAACCGTGGGCTCTAGGTTTCCTGCACTGTGAACAGGTTGGGTCCGGGCATTTGTGTTTTTGTAGACCAGCAGCCGCCCTGGCGAGAAAAGACAAAAAATGCCGTCAAAAAAAACACATAGCGGAAATAATGGTTGGTGAGGTTGAACACTTGGCGGCTCGCCCGACCGAGTCGCTGCAGCAGACCAGCCGCGATGCCAAACGGTCTCAGATCCACCGGCGTGAAGTTCGACCCTGTCACAGGCGATGTCATATGGTCGCCGCCAGCCGCCATGCCCACAGAGGTTGCCGAAGCGGCAACCCCCGTGCAGCTGAGCGACGCCGTCTATTCCTCTTCGAGCGAGAGGTCGTCTCAGCAAGAGGTTGACCCTCAAGAGCCGTCGCCAGGTGTTGGGTTGGACTTCCCCGAGCACGAGCCTCCGCTTACGCCGGAGCCGTCGCCGCCAGAGCACGATGAGGAGGCGCCACGCCTTCTCCCTGTGGAGTCGTCGGGCCTGCGGGAGCCTCCGCTTACGCCGGAGCTGCCGTCGCCTCCGGAGCACGATGAGGAGGCGCCACGCCTTCTCCCTGTGGAGTCGTCGGGCCTGCGGGTGGAGGGGGACGTGCCGTGGGCCGAACCGCCGTCCTTGCCCGCAGAGGCGGACGAGGCGGCCCTCAGCCAACGGCTCAGCACCGGAAGCCCGACAGTCGACTCGGACGGCACGAGCGACGCCCGGCGCTCGCGTGTCAGCTCCAGCGACTCCAGGGCGGCCGACTCGGACGGCGAGGTGCGGCGGTCGCGTGCGAGCTCCACTGCGCTCGAGCGTGTCCGGAGGGCAAAGCTGACGCGGGCGAGAGCCTCGCAAGGGCACAGGCCGTCGGTCTCTCCGCACCCGCCCGAGCCGCCGTCAGACCGCCGCTCGAGCGACGACGTCACGGCCGCGGGCCGCTTCATGACGTCTTCGTCTTCCTCCGGCTTGAAGGTGGACTCGGGCACTTCCGACTCGGACTCGGACGGGCCGCAGGAGCCGCCAACGCCGCAGCCGCGCCGTCCGCCGCTCCCGTCGGCAGAGTCGTCAGACTTGTGGAGCATATCCACTAAGTCGGACCGGCCGCCCTCGCCGGGCGCGCCCTCTCGGCATGAGTTTGTCCTCGTTATGCCCACGCCCAGCGACGACGAGGCGCCGAGCGACGACGCCGTCAAAGAGGCCCCGTGGCGGGAGGGGCAGTCCGGCTCTGCGCTTGGCGGCAAGGGGGGGTGGGGCGGCACCGACGAGGCGGAGGCCTCGCTCGAGGCGAGGAGCGCCTACTCGCGGGCGCGCAAGCGCGTCGACGAGGGCTGCAGCCGCACCTCCAGGCGTGTGTGGGTTGCCCTCGGCGCTTCGATCGTCCTTGCCGTAGCTCTCGGCACTGGCCTCGGCCTCGGGCTTGGGCAGCGCACACCGCCGGCGGGAGAGGTGGGGCGGAATGTCGCTCCCGCGCCGCCCGCGCCGCCCGATGCTCTCACATCAGAGACCAGGCTGATTGCGACCCTCGACCTCAGTGGCAACAACTCCGCGCTTGTCGGCGGCCTGACCCGCTCGGACCTCATCCTCGCCGTCGACACCAATGTCTGGGAAGCCGGGACGCCGAAGATCACCTCGATTGAGGTGTCGCAGAGCTTCGATGTGGTCGCGGAGAGGCCCTCTGACACGGCAGGAGTTGGCGCGGCAGCCGAGCCGTGGACTGGCGACTGGCAGACGCTCCTTTGCAGCGCAAGCGCGTTCCCTGCCAGCGACTACGGCGACTGCACTGCGACGGCCTCGCCCTCGGGCCAGCGGCGGCTCAGCGAGACGTCGCGCTTTATCGGCACCGTTGTGGCGGAGCTGATTGCGGCGGACCGGCCGGTGGCGCGCCTCCCTGACTTTGTGGGCGTCGAGGTTGCTTCGGTGGCCCTGACCAGCGTCAAGGTGGTGACGAGCACAATCGCGGCGCCGTCCAACCGCGAGAACCTCGAGGAAGAGGCCGCCAACATCCTCAGCGCGCAGGAGAACGCCGTCGCAAGCGCCCTTGCGTCGATCGTCGAGGTGTCCGAGGGCGACCCTCTGGACCTCGTGGCCACGCAGGGGGTGAGCATCTTCCCGCCATCTCCGCCTCCGTCACCACCATCGCCACCTCCACCGAGCCCTCCGCCGCCGTCGCCGCCGCCATCGCCGCCGCCGTCGCCGCCGCCGTCGCCGCCGCCTTCCCCTCCGCCTCCGTCGCCGCCACCGCCGTCGCCACCGCCGTCGCCTCCGCCCTCGCCTCCGCCGCCCTCGCCGCCGCCGCCCTCACCTCCGCCCCCGAGCCCACCTCCCTCGCCGCCGCCGCCCTCGCCGCCGCCGCCCTCGCCGCCACCCCCGAGTCCACCGCCCTCGCCGCCTCCACCCTCGCCGCCGCCACCATCACCGCCGCCATCGCCGCCACCACCCAGTCCGCCGCCACCGAGCCCGCCGCCACCCTCACCGCCACCGCCCTCGCCGCCGCCACCATCACCGCCGCCATCGCCGCCACCACCCAGTCCGCCGCCACCGAGCCCGCCGCCACCCTCACCGCCACCGCCCTCGCCGCCGCCACCATCACCGCCGCCATCGCCGCCACCACCCAGTCCGCCGCCACCGAGCCCGCCCGTGCCACCGTTACCTCCCCCGCCCTCGCCGCCGCCGCCGAGTCCACCACCCCCCTCACCGCCACCTCCATCGCCTCCGCCGCCTTCACCACCGCCGCCCTCACCGCCGCCGCCGTCGCCGCCGCCCTCGCCACCGCCGCCCTCGCCGCCGCCCCCGTCGCCGCCGCCCCCGTCGCCGCCGCCCTCGCCTCCGCCGCCTTCACCACCTCCACCATCGCCTCCACCGCCCAGACCAGCTCCGCCTAGGCCTCCGCCGCCCTCGGCGCCTCAGCCTTCACATCCGCC